GAGTTCTTTTTTTATGGTTTATTATGATTTATTTTTTTCAGTTTTTGTCTACGAAAATCCTTTGAGTAACCCGGATTTCTATTTACAATGGCGACCCCTTTGAATCCACTTTTGAGGCAGCGATAATTGCATTTGTGCGTTTTAAAGCGTTGAGGAGGTTTAGAAGTTTTTCTTAGCTGCTTTAAATTTGAACAAAAGATTTTGGTATAATATGCTGCGTCAACTTCAACGTAAATTAAAATAAATATAAATAAAGCATATCAATTGGTTAATTTATTGAGTTCCAAAATTTTTAAACTTTTTCTAGTGAAAATTTAGTGTATTTTAACAATATAACAGTACAAAATCAAGTATTCCTTTTAAAACTATTGTTCTTTGCAGAAATAAGAATTTTAATTCTTATAAAAATATATACTAAGAGAAAAATTTCTTTATAAAAAATGGTTAGAACAAAAGTTTAAAGTCCTTTAGTGTAAAAAGTATTGAAGCTGTTTAATTGAATTCTTGTTTGTTTTAATTTTTGTAATTCCGCGTGAAATTTGCTAGCACGATTCGCTGTAACAACATCGAGAATAAGATCGAACCTGACTTAATTGGACGGTTTTATGGTAATTAGATTACACTTAGATCACGACTAAAAACGACCAACATTCCAATGTCTAAAATAATTTAGTCTTATTGTTTTTTTCTATAGAAGATTTGGTCATGATTCCAAAACTGTTGCCTACATTTTGCAAGCCATAAATAATTTAGAACAGGATCTAAAATTCCATTGTCTATAATGAGAAAGAAAAAAGATAAATAACTCCATAGCTTTACAATGTCATTTATTACTTTGTTTTGTCGTACAAAAAGTTTTTAAGTCAACAAAATTTATATTAAAACAAGAGCAAAATATTTCAAGATGGGATTTAATATATTGATAATATAATATATTTTATTAAATTGTATTACAATAAATTAAAATCTCGCTTAAATATGTATGTAAGATGTGATATTCACGAATTTGTACATTTTTATTTTAAGTGTTCGGGAGTTAATAATTAAACGTTTAATACGACTGCATTACAATATATAAATATTACAGAAAAGACCTATGATGAGAGAAAAGGGAAGACATAATTCAATCAGCAAAAGCAATTCACCCTTTATACAATGCTCCCGGATACTGGGGCCAAACCCTTACATCGGAGAAAATGTTAAAACAAAATGTGGTCAATATTACGAGTATTTTGAAAGATGAAACCGCATTTTTTTTTTCATTTTAATATCCAACCGCATTTGTAGTAGATTGTTAAAAATTATAAATAAGGAGTAGTGGTGATCATCACACTAAAATACATACACAATAAGATGCTGAGCGAAGACTAACTGTTGTAATAGAAAGGTACTTGTACAAGTACTTTTCTTTGGAAATACCCTTAAACATATCTTAGTATCTCATCAAGCAATGTAATTAGTTCAAAAACAAACGTTGGCAACTTAACGAATACTTCAGATCCCGACTTGTTAGAGCAACTCTAATTCGTCAGTTCCTTCGTTTTCTTTTTAATTAATTTTGACAAATTACCCTACCTTCTCAGTTACTTTTTCGCGTTCATTTAATTAAATACTGAAGTGACACTTACCTAACAGGCTTTTCCGACAAGAGTAGCTCTATGCTCAGTGTTTTGTGTTTATTAATTATCCTCTAGTAGTGCAATATAAATTTAAATGAGACCTATTTTCTGACGGTCTAGAAGCTTTCGTGGTTGATAGGTCAAGTGGATGGGGTAGTTTTTCTATTACGCTTAAGAATTCACTTTTATGTACGGCGCTTTAATAGCAAACCATTTATGATTTTTCCATAATATAATATGCAATTTATATTTTTATCATTCCCGTTTTTAAATAAAACATCTCTATATTTTCTTTATATCTCCAAGTGGTATGATGGGGTTTTATAAACATAAATAACTGATAAAATGTTTAAAGAATACTTAAAAACCTTCTAAGCACACAACATATCTAAATCTAAATCCATTTTCCCCTACATAAACAAAACTAAACGCAATTTTCTTGTTCGACTCAATTGCTTAGAATAATAGGTGATGGTGGGTTACATATTTGAAGCAATATTCATAATGCTTATTGAAGAGGGTTCAACTACGTGTTCACATTTTATTTTTCACTTATAATATTTTTGTGAATGTAATATTCAATTCTACTATGTGGTTTAAAGTCGCATATAAACGTATGTAGTCTTGGCATACTCCCAAAAGATATCATTGTTTATGAAATTTATTTCAGACTTTGTATACTTTTAACGTTATCGGAACATTTGTCAGAAACTCATTTATAACATGGGCCCCTTTTCTTTTGCTTTGAATTACTTTGAAACACATTAATTTTTGATACTATACTTATTCAAAATATTATAAGAACCTCCAAATATACTTTTACATTTAGCTCGTATTTCACGTGCCATTAAATTTCGCTGTTTGCATTTTTTAGCATACGTTACCCATAAGATGGGAGGAAGATCAGCTTTACGATTGTAGTTTGAAGGGAGCAGCTTTTACAGGTCTCGTTTATGACAGCAGTAAATTTTACCTGCTATTTAAGTTGGCTTTTCATTTTATTATTTTAGCAAAATTTGTGAGATGTTATAAAAAAATTATTCAATGTCAGACAATACGAATTGTTTTATGAGACCGATTTTGACCTGGAATGTCACTTGAATTGCCAAAAGAGATATAATTAATGTGCACCTGAATCATAGTAAGTGCTTTAATACAATAAAATATTTTATAAATCCTTTACATTCACGCGTAGGTTGAATCCTCGATCTTCCATATAAGTTTGAATTTAATATCGTGTAATAACTTAACCTCGGGTTGCATCGGTCAAAATGTTTGTAACAATTTTTCACAGTTTGAGAAGCAACTCACCTTTGTCCCTAATTCGATATAAATTGATACAAAGTGGGAAACCTTGTTAACATCAATAAAAGTTGTAAAAAGTTTAATTTACTTTGTTTGGAAATTCATTTTATTATAAATATTTAGTTCATGCACTGGTTTCTATTTCAAAAAAAGTGTCAATTCTATAAAACATTTTTAATCATCGCTTATACCTTATCCATTACCTACAAAACTCAACGAGTAGCTGCTGAATCTGGATGTAGTAGTTGGTCTCGTTTCGATAGCTTACATATTCAAATTTCGATTTTCAACCATACTTCGTTACAATAAGATATCTAAACCGACAATAGTTTCTCATGTTAAGCGTAGTTGCCCCCAGCGGATGTCGGCGACAGTTACCGTATTTGGAATTGGTCCAGACTCGCAGGCAAACTTTTATGTTGTTTCAATGTGGTTTAACTGAAAGAATTGTTTTTCTGTGGTCAATTTACAGAAAAGCAAATAAAGTTTTGTTGAGTTGTTAATATGGCATAAGGTTACGTGGTTAGTCGTTGTTCTGTGCATACACCAGCCAACTTTTAAGCCAAGTTAAGTTTCGAATTTCAGTACAACAGTAAGTAACTACTTTATAGAAGTTAGGTGTTTCCTGGAAGTGCAAGTTCCATATTTTTTATGCAAATATTTGTTTTATTAGCCCTGTCACTATTATACTCATTCACACACACACTTCGTTCGTTCGTTCGGTCGTTCGTTAAAGTTATTCTTAAAGTTAGGTATATACCTATGTCCATATAGAAAATTTTTAAAGATGATTGATACGGCAAATGTTTAAATTCCTAATTTTCAATTTTTCAATATATTTCCTTAATGTATTTAATAATTACATGAGTATTCAGTCTAAGAGGACTGAGATTGTTTTTTCTTTTTTTACGATGACAAAGTGATAATATCAAACGAATGAAGTTTATATAATTAAAATAAAACTTGTCCTTTCTAGTTTTTTAGACTGTTAAAGTAAATTATACCACTTGTAAATGTATTACATACTTTTCAATATTTAAATATTTACTTACATATTTATTAATTAAATTATCAAAGCAAAAATTAAAATAAAAATGTTCATAACTTCATGGTTAAAATTTCTTGTACCCACAATTGAGGTGCTTTAAGTAATAAGTTGGAAATTAATTATGAAATTTATTTTTCTATTCGTTATTTGTAGATGTAAATATGTATAAAAGTATATTTTGTCGTCTGAATATTAAGATAAAAAAAACATTGTGGTAGGTACTTTAAATCTTTACTTTTTAGAATTTTATTTAATTTTTGTAAATCCTTATTTAGTAAACATAAAAAAATATATTATAGATTTTTTAAAAATAAAATTGATCTAAAAATGCTGTAGAAGTAAAATATTTTTATTCTTTTTTATACAGTGACTTTAAATGATTATATTTCTTCATATAATAGATAGTAATGTTCATGTGTAAAAAATAAAAAGATCTTTTTTTATCGAGTTGTAGCAGTTAGCAGAAGCTAACGAACATACGTGTCGGGGAAATTTTGAAACAAAAAGTTTTTAGACGAACGCAAAAAAAATTCCTAACAAAAATTATGTAGTTTCGGTCTCTATCCTTTCCCATTTAACCGCATCACGTCCCTGAAGGATACTTTTTTGAAAGTTGGTCGGAGGCCAATTAAGCCAACAGGCGCCGACGTCCGCCCTTCTTCCTGTTCGCAACCGCTAAATCGTTTTCTACCAGCTTTGTGTAGCTAAGTCAGTTATCGCCTCATCTTATACCAATTTATTGACTGAAGCGATGAGTTTGTACATTGCTTTTATGTTTCAAAATAAGTTACTTTACCCTTTGTAAGATTTTTCTTTATAAAAATGAAATAATGTTGATATTTTAAATGTTTACAATATATCGTCGTCATCACCCAGCCTTTAAAGTTCGTTGCTACACATAGGCCTCCTTCATAGGCCGCAACTCCCACATAGACTTTAAATACACGACCACATTAATTCTCTTCTCAGATGAATTAATCAGTTTTTATTATCAATAGGTCATATTGATATTCAGAACCAACACATTGTCATTTGGTTTTTATAGCTATTCGAATGGTCGTTGCACCGAAATTGGCAGTTAAGATCCTTAATTTACATCCTACAGTTCCCGTTAGCCTCGTAAAAAAGTTCAGAGAACTCGGGATGGTATAACCTATTTGGCGTGGAATGTATCGTAACGGTTCTAAATTATTTGGGTGAAGAAGAGGATGGGACGGGATGGGATAAGCAATACGCAGTGCACCACCCGGGCAGAATCGCATTGCGTCGGGCACATCGGCGCCAACTTCTTGGCAAAGCTTTCGGTCATCGTCCCCTCCATAAAAGCCTCCAGAATCTTGAGCCAAAACAATTTCGGAAATTTTCTTGCCCAACACGCATGACATTGCTTTTGTGCATCTTCCTATTTTTATATGATTGCATTATCAGAGAACTTAGCCAAAATTTTACTTCCATAGCAACTACATACATGATAGTGACACTATGAGTATTTTCAAATTGTATAACCTTACTATAGAAAAAGGTAAAGAAAGAAAATAAGATAAAACGAAAATAAGAGATAAAACACACATTTATAGTGAAGAAAACTATTTGTATACTTTTTTGAAATAAATATATGTATGTAACATTAATTTAATTCAAAAAACATTATAAATATGACAACAACGACATTTTTATTAAGTTATAGAATTTCGTGAAAATTATCAAAGTACTCAACGAAACTTTTAGATCCAAACAAATGAAGCACTTAAACAGATTTGAAATATTATTGCTAAACAGTAATTTAATTTAAGTAATAAGAGGTTATAATAGTAAGTATTTAAGTAAAAAACTTGTTATAGAAATATAAATTTATTATCACAATTCATAAATAAGAATCTAAAATCGATTAGTCTAAGCACTTACAGCTAATGTATAAATTAAGATATTTATTCTAAGTAGACAAAACTTCTTGAAATATGGCATGATAAGTTTTAAAATTTTAGTTCATAATCGTAACATTCTATTTGAATAACACAGTATATATCATATAAAACTGAGCAAAGCCTTATGACATATTCGTGACAGATTTATATTCGTGATTGATGCATTACGTAATCGGGTATAAATTTCAGCATCGCCTTCTTATTTGAAAAATACTGATTTGTCTGAGGAGATTGTTAGGAAACTGTTTCGTATTTGGCGCTATAAAGAGTTATTTGTTGACCTTTTCAAGCACCCATTTTCCAGAGTAAGGGGTTTCTAGCCTCTTCAGTTTGGGGCGGAAACCATTTTCATCAGCGGTGTAGTCGACTCTGTACATGAAGCCGTCAGGTCCAATGTATTCATAAAAACCTTTGGATGCAATTCCCTCGTCGATCGTATTTGGATTCTTCAGTACTGCATTTTCCTTTGCACGGATTTTGTTTTCTGTTTCAAAACTGAAAATCATAATCAATGATTGAACCTCACTTTCATTTCATAATATTTTTATCTGTTATTACGTCATTCGGATATCCGACATTATGTTATATTTTAATATCAAACTATTTGTCATTAATGAATACAAATGGTTTTGAACTCTGACCGAAGTGTGTAACAATGTGAGGGCCGATTTTTCTTCAGTTTATCAAGGTCAAATTTTGTTTTTATATTAATAAATAAAATAATATTATATTTATAGTATGTGTGTATATGTAGTTTGTATTTAATTCTCATTTATTTATAAATATGTAATGTTTATGTGTTAAATAAAGTAAAATAAAATTTAAAGTAATTAAGAATGTCATCAAGGGACACTGCTTCAATATTTAATTAAATACTAAAATAAATTTGATTAATGACACAAAAATTCCAACAGACGAATTACCATAACGGTTCATCGTGGCTCATAAAGATAAGCTTAGATTGAGCTACTCAAGGTCGACTTTGTCTAGGCGACATAAAATATATACATTTTGTGAAATATATTTGAATATTGTTAGCTTGATATGATGCCAATCGACTTAGAACATTCCGATTGTGTCACAAACATATGTATGAAACATAAGGAAATAGTGTATCCCAGTGACAGTGACAGTGATATTTTAATGACCTATAATTTATTTAATTATTATTTCTTATAACACTCTTACAGATTTTAAAAGAATGGGTCATTCTAGTATTTAAACAGACGTAGTTAGTTCATCTTATACTTACACAAAATCGTATTTGTCTTCTTCGTAATTGTGCTTTTGGTTTAAGATTTTTATTCCGTTATTTTCATAGTATCCCTTCTTGTAGAACGGATTGAACTCCTGAGGCGGTTTCTGTACCAATCTGTAGACATCTTGGGAAGCTGCCTCTACGTAGGGCTCATAGTCATGGGAGTAGGGTCCGAATCCACCATCATAAGGGTTATCTATGTGGATGTAGGGATTCGGTATGTGGATATATTTTCCCTCATCAGTCGGTATGTATCTGAAATTATGAAACGATATATTTTCCGATTCTGAAAATTACAGCATTGAAAGTAGCTTACATAAACTTTTAGATTATTTTATTTTATCATATTAATTTTAATATCAAACATTATTTACAAAAAAATAGTATACATTTTTAACAAAGTACATATTTGTTTGAATAAAGCTAAATAGTGCATTTACTCTAACAGGTAGGTAAATATATTTATTAAACAAGTTTTATATAATAATGAATAATATATACAATGACATTTACTTACTTGCCACTGTCGCCGTATTTATAAGGATTCCATTTGCCATCTTCGATAGGTGAGCCGGCAGCGCACACGCAGATAGAGATGAGAAACTGCAACAATAACATTTACAACAACTTATAAATATATTTAAAAAGTCAAAATATTAAATAATGTTGATATAAATATATATTAAATAATGGTTTCAGATTCAACACTAAAATTATTATATTTACACCTTTTTTTTAAATATTTTTATATACTAATTTAATTTCAATAATTATAATGCCAATAAAAATTATGAAATTAAAAATTAATGATGCGAAAAAATTATTTATTAAAACCATTTATATGACTTTAAAATAAAAAATAAATATATATCGTAAAATGTTTTTCAAGATAAGTTAATAATATTTTTCGAAAACAAAAAAAAAACTTACCACTAGAAAGTACATCCTGAGAGCACAACAATGCTTCCTTGAAAACACTTGAAATGTTACTAAACACTTACACTAAAGCTGCGATCACAATTTGTAAGCCTATTCACACGTGTATACTCCTTAGAGAATTTGATATCATTGTGTTGATTTCGAAATCGACTCTTCGCTTTTATACACTTGCTTCAACGGCTCATCTCTTTTCCGAACCAGAATTCGCATCCCGTCCATGTTACACACGCGCACATAAACACTCACACATACATATATTTTTTATCATTCATTGTTGAAGGGGTATCGGTGTCATTTGCTCTTAAACTAAATGCGGAAGTACTACGCAGGGGATTCACTAACTTATTTTCAAAGAATGTAACTCATTCAGATCTCTGTGTCCGAAACTTAAATTAAAATATCACTTTACATTGGTAAATGCTATAAATATTAAATAAAGCAGAAAGACTTCGTACAATGAATCAGTGAGATTTTTGGTAAAATAAACCGATACTAAATTCTGATGTCTTAATAAAATTCTTACTGAGGTACACATTTTTAAGTGGTATAACAGTATTTTTATGTGACGATAAATTTAAATATTTTTCATTTACAGTCATATAAAATAAATTCATATTGCAATTATTCTATTTTTGACTTGTTAATTGTAAACTCGGACGTATAGAAATTTTAGCTAAAATATTTATATTTTTGAAAGCTATTCTATGTAACATAAAAAAGAGAATGGAGGTTTTATTACAACAAACTTGTTAAAATAGAAGTGTTAAAGGAAATTATATTTTATTCACATAACTAGTTTGTTCTAGTGACTTCATCCTACAACTTATTGCCCTGATTTATTTTAAATAGAAGCTTTGTACATATGTATGTATTCCTATAATTTATTAAGTCTACATACATACATATATTTTCTCCTTTATGTAGGGACGTAAGAATCATATGTCTAATATGCTATTTTCTATAAAACGGGTTTGTTTTCAAATTATAAGAAATCTACAAAAATATTCTCAATTTATTACGAATTTCTGCCTTAGTATTTATTATTCGTATATAAAAGTTATAATAGTTCGATGAAAGCTGTGTAAAAATTAACACCTTTTATAATACCTTTAACAACGTTCAAATCAATCTGCATTCCATACATAAAACATTGGCCTCGTAAAATTTCACATTATTGATTATATGTGTTTAAAATAGAAACAGGATGCATGGATTACTAATGATCGGATTTACCCGTGGAATTTTGCACTTTCGTTGATATTTCACTAATTATAATATAATTTGATAAATACAACTGTCATACATTACATATTAGATTTATTATAATATCGGGTTTTGTTTAACATTTTGTGCTTATTGTTTTATGTATAGGAAATATTTATTTATTACTAGTTTTTGCCCGCGACTTCGTCCGCGTTAATTTCATCATTAGTAATATATGTATAGCTGACCGCGCGAACTCTATTCCGTCCTAGAGGCCATAAATAATCAGGTTTTTCCTGTTTCAATCGAACAGAATGATTGACATATTAGTTAGTTGTCAAATCTAATGTCAAAGAAAACATTTGTATGGGTAATAGAAAACGGCTGTTTTTACGGTTTTCCCGGAAATGAATCAATTTTTCTCACCTTTTATACCTTCCCTGAACCTCCACGAACATTTCAAGACTAAGATAAGATAAATCCTTTCAGCCGTTCTCGAGTTTTAGCGAGACTAAGGAACAGCAATCCATTTTTATATATATAGAAGATAAACATTCCATTCCACTAACTTTAATGAAAATATACTCAGTTTAATAGGACACGTTGAAGTTAACTTGATCGACATCATATTACGACATATTTAATATAAATTTTAATTCGTAGATTTAATAATTGTTTGCTCATTAGTGATTATACAATATTTAATCTAAGAAAACCTTGTAAAGATGACACCTCATTATACCAATAAATTCCAATATAAATATTTTTTCCATTTCGATATAAAAATTACGCATAATTCTCTCAGATTTTTATTTACAAAACTGTTATCAATACCCTACGATAATTCCGGTAGCGTTCCAAGAGATCTTATCTTTTAACATTCCAAAATATATGAATTATAATGAAGACGAATTTAATAAAAATATTTACATTTCGTTAAATATCTCATGTGTTATTTCTATTAGGCGGTAAATATTTTGAATTTCTAGGAAGTTTCCATATCGCGGGTTATTCTTTGTGACGCGTCTCATCCTTGGCGCCGGGTGGTCACGGCAATAAATATGGTACCTTACTGCTTCATATTATACTAGCATGATACGACAAAGATTCTGCGAAACAAGTTCGATTCATATATATTCATATATATTTAATTATTCGAATGAACTAGAAATTTGTTTAACCGTAACAGTTTAAATACGTCATATAATCAATGAGTGTTATATAGAAAAATTCTCGAATAATTTATTCAATATACAAATCACCGAAACTAAATGTTATCTAAAAGATTTTATGATTTCAATCAAAATATTTTAAAAGCAAATATAATGTACGAGGACATAAAAAAGTGCGAAATATTGTTGATTCACGTATAAAGATAAACATTTTATTAATTGATTAAATAGGCACAGACAAATTGGTATAGCCTTCGGTAATAAAATTTTTTTGCTGATAACTAATCGTCCAACCGAGTGGTTTCAAACAGTTTGACATGGAGAATATAATACTTATAAGATAAGCTCGGTTGATGTATAGGAAAAAGTGGGTTATATTAGCAGGGAACCGTTGTACGCTATTCATTCATCGTGATAGATACAGGTATTGAAGAGATGCCTCAAAGTACATAACCAAGTTATAAAATTGATACAAAAGTCAATGGACAATCGTAAATTAAATATAATGATGTCACTAACACCTTATCTTTGCTATAAACAAAAAAGCAAAATTTTTTTAACTGATGTATTTAAAATGTTTATTTATGTAATTCGTTTGAGAAAAATTACATAAGTAATAGCTTAAATTGCTTGATTCTTATTTATTCAAGCATCCTCCTGGCTTTGATTTTGAGATGAGCTTAATGGGATATTTGTCCTATGTTAAATACACGGTTATTACATATTCAACCATATAGAACATTTTGAAGTGTGGCCTCCTTTGTTCAGGTGATTGTTCAAATATATTTTTTCTTCAATTATCTACTCTCCACACGATTCTAATAAAATATAACCCTCTCTTATCATAAAATAAATCCAAGTATGAAATACCACCACATAAGTTAAGACCTTCGTAAATCAATATTTGTTTTCAAAATATTTTATGATTTAGTATACATAACTCAAATAATTTTAAAAATATAATTTCGTATAGTCTAATATTATATGGTTTTTACCGTAACTATATTATGTTGGTATTTTCATAGAAACTTATGAAAGTTGAACAAACAATTCCATATAAAAATAATATCGTACCGATAAAAACCCAGTATTGTTGTTGTATTTTAAGAGAATTTATCTAGAACAGAGGTCGGATCTTCAATTCTTATGAAACGTGAGCAACTATTGATGCTACATTTTGATAAAATAAACCAATAATACATTATTGTTTATTATAGATTCCCAGTAATGAGGAAAGTTTTTTTTATTATTTTGTGATACTCTTTGTCGTTAATTTTTCATGATAAATATTTGGTTTTAATATAAAACATTCATAGAGATGTCACAAAATATAAAAGGCAATGAAATATTTATTCTTAATATCAATATAGAAATACATTCCCTTATATATTATGTATTATTACTTTTGAAGATCTTTTATTGATATTTATGTCTCGAAAACTTTCTTTAAATTCATTTCGAGAAAGATATTAAAGATTTTCCAAACAAAGAATGATTGTTCGTTTAAATTAATACATATAATAACTTTTTCGTAGAATACGTTCAATTTTATAATAATGCCTTAAATTTTCTGTCACTTAACTTTAATAGCTATCATTACTACAAGCTTATAAAAATACTTTGACGTGCAAGTCTTTATCGCAGGTAGCCATCGAGACGGTAAAATATAATCAAAAGCTTAAGAAAATTTTTGCCAAGTGGCGATGAGTTAACAGATTTCTAACAATGAAAATTTTAAGATCTTTTTAGTACCACTTAGGGGTCTTTACATATAATCTGACTATTAAATCATACCTTGACCTTGGATTTAATTTTCGTTAACCCTGTAATCGGGATTAAATTCATAAAATGGTATTTATACAAACGTTAAATATGTATATACTTCTACTTCATTCGTACATTCGTATGTATATAACGTTTTGGAGAAAAGAGAAAAGAAGAAATAGACATACGTACTTAGTCATATAAACTTGCACCATTAAAAATTTAGATCGTTTTAATCTCGATGAACACGAGAGTATCCCCAAAAATATTAAAGTAAATGATTCATCATATAAGTATGCCATTATGCATACATATGTTTTGTCTTTGGCCCCCGAAGTTACTCAATGTTGTATCCTATTATACACAAAATCTATATATTCATTGATGAATGTATTGCATTTTTTAACAAAGAAATCTAATATAGTATTTAAATAATATAAGAGAATATAACCTCGAAATGTTTTGGAGACGGAGCAAGGATAACTTATAGTTCAATTTCGTTACAACTACACTTAGCAAAGTTTCAAGGATTTTTATCTC